ATATTTTTGTAGCTTACCTCGAGAGCTTTCCAAAACACTATAATAAAGTATTTTTTCATTGAATACTTTTCAAGTTACGAGGCTTGAAGTAATTTTTTAATTTTACATAAACCATAAAATATCTTGTAAAATATTCATTTTTCGATTACCTCACCTTAATACTTTTATATACAAAATAATGAGAGGAATCAATTGGTGTAAAGAAAACACATAGTTATTTTTAAGAAAGAATATGTAATTGTTAATTGCAAATTACACTTTTTTTTTTCGAAACAACTATGTGTTTTCTTTACACCTATTAATTCCTCTCATTATTTTGTACATAAAAGTATTAAGATAAGATAATCGAAAAATGAATATTTTACAAGATATTTTACAGTTTATGTAAAATTAAGAAACAATTTCAAGCTTCATAACTTGGAAAGTACTTAATAAAAACTAACTTAATTATAGTGTTTTGGAAAGCTCTCAGGATAAGTTACAAGAATGTGTAATAAAAAATAGATGATTCCATTTGAAAAATTGATGGTGACCTTTACATAACCTTCAAGTAACTATTTAAGGTCAAATTAATGACATCATCTTATGTCTCCTTTAAAACTATATAACTTTTGTCTGAAACATTTTTTCGTACCTCGCATATTTTTCAAAATATTTGTCTATTAATATTAAAATAAATCACCCTGTGTATATATATATATATATATATATATATATATATATATATATATAAATACCTGCACAGATTTGATTATTATTGGAGGTATCTTCTTATTTCTAAAATCTAATAGTTCGCCAGATTGTTTTATCTTACAAGTTGGATGAACTGGAACATCTTTATTTATTCTAACATCTTTCATAACAACAGCTAATAATTTTGCTACATCACTGCTAAAGAAGCTGCTGCGTATGCGTATTTCTTCAACTTGCTAAAATTAATTATTATATTGTTATATTATATCTTAATATTATAATGATTTGAATAACTCACCAATGTGAAGCCATTTTTAGTTATATTGACATCACGAAGTCTAAAATAAGGTAAAGAAATATGGCCTACTTGCAAGTGAATTTTATAACAACGTTTCACTATCCATGCTAATAATTTTGGTACTATTCTATTAAATAAAAAATTATGTAATGTAATGATATATTTTTGCAGTGACATTATTTTGTATAAATTTCAATACTTACCGAGTAAAAAAACAATAAAATATTAAAAAAATTATGCAAAACGCAAGTAATCCAGTCATATTCTTGACATGTAATTAAAAATGTTATATTGCCTAAATAAAAATATATCAAATATGACAATATGTGTAATTAGTACTGTTTTATATTACTATTTTTCTCAAGCTATTCAAGACGCAACACAATACATAAATAGTACGATTGAGGCTATGTTCCGATATAAACTATCAGTATCATAGTATTTTCAACAGGGAATCGATTGTGTATTTTAATGTATTTTCCGATTCACGCATGATGCGCATGAAGTAACAGAAAGTTTATGGCCGGTATTCATAGTCCGATCTTATATTTGAGATCGTCTTAAGTTCGAGCTTAAAATGCTACGCAGCTATTTGATTGGATGAATGAGGTCTTAAGTCAACCTCCAAGCAAACTTAAGACGATCTTATATTTGAGATCGTCTTAAGGTGCAATTTCATTGACGCTAAAAAGTAGCGTCAACAATTGGTTGAACAAAGAAGCAACTACTTACTTCTTTGTTCAACCAATAGTTGACGCTACTTTTTAGCGTCAATGAAAAGGCCGCTTTAAGGTGCGGCCTCATTGACGCTAAAAAGTAGCGTCAATCATTGGTTGAACAAGGAGGTAAGTATAGTTGCGTCAATGAGGCCGCACCTTTAAGTTCGAGCTTGAAATGCTATGCAGCTATTTGATTGGTTGAATGAGGTCTTAAGTCAACCTCCAAGCAGACTTAAGACGATCTTAAATATAAGATCGGACTATGAATACCGGCCTATGTCACGCGTTGGATCTGTTCGTTTTAGCTGCACTGCTGCACTAGTGCAATAAGTTAGAAAGAGATAAACATACTTTCTTTCACTCTAATGGTGCGATCCCATGATACGGAACGTATGCGCAATGCGGAATTGGCGGAACGCTCGTGATTGGTTTAACCTGTTTTACGTCTGTTCCGCCGATTTCTATCCGCAAGTTTCTATTTTATACACATTTTGTGCGGAACTTCGAAATTGTGTGTATGATGAAAAATGTCGAAACAGCAGATATCCGTAAGAATATTATTAAAAAATATTTTAAATAAGAGTGTAACAAGGAATGGTCCAACTAATGCTAATAATGCGTCAAATAATTGAGGTGCCATTTTAAAATAATCCATATATTTTTCTGTGTCTTCGATCAGCATTTCCTTTACAAGATTCTCACTTGCTCCTTGTTGAAATCTTCTTTCTAAGCTGAATATAGGTCGCATCCAATATTTTCGTCGTTTTTTAATATTTTCACTTCTTTTTACAATTATATACAATGAATATAATTTTATAATCTTACGGCGTAATTCATTCTTTTTAAATATACACCAACTTTGTTTTAATTTACTTAACAATCCACAAATAATAATAAACAATTTTTCAGAATCCATATTCAATATTAAGTTGTTGTCAGTTTTGAAAGTTATATATGAAATTCATGAATTTTTTGACATATATGTGTGAATCCGATCCGCATAAATTTGTATTTCCTATGTCCCATGCAGCGGAAAATACGGAAGCGTAATTTGCGCGAACCAATAATGTACGCTGTTCCGATATAGACAACAAAAAAATCTATGGGAAAGAATCTTGTGATCGGCCAACACCAATTGCGCTTCCGCGTTTTCCGCTCCATGGGACATAAGAAAATATATTTCAACGGAACGCAATTGACGGAATGTCTATGATTGGACGAACTTTGTTCCGCCAATTCCGCATTGCGCATACGTTCCGTATCATGGGACCGCACCATAAGACCGGTTCTACAATAGGTAATTTAAGCCTTAAGCCTTAAGAGATTGACCAATTACAGTCAAGTATGAAGAGAATAGTCGACTGTGATTGGTCAATTTCTTAAGGCTTAGGGCTTAAATTATCTATTGTAGACCCGGCCTAAGGGCCTATCCAGACAAATTTGCATAGGTGCATATACATAACATAAGACCATATGGACCAATGAGCATCGAGTATTAAATCGCTATATTGACTTACATAACATAAAGGCCGCAGCACACACTTTTGCATAAGCGCATAACCAGAAGCATAAGGAAATTGATTGGTCCCCAAGTATATGCATAAGAAAATGAACCAATCAATTTTTTTATGCTTATGGTTATGCGCTTATGCAAAAGTGTGTGCTGCAGCCTTAATACTCGATGCTCATTGGTCTATATGGTCTTATGTTATGTATATGCACCTATGCAAGTTTGTCTGGATAGGCCCTTATTATGGTTATGATTATGCATATGCTTATGTCTTATGCAAGTTTGTCTGGATAGGCCCTTAAGGCCGTAGCACACACTTTTGCATAAGTGCATAACCATAAGCATAAGAAATTTGATTGGTTCATTTTCTTATGCATATACTTGGAGACCAATCAATTTCCTTATACTTATGGTTATGCGTTTATGCAAAAGTGTGTGCTGCGGCCTTTATACATAAAGCTAAAGCAATATTTTGATTGGTTCTTCAGCTTACGTTTACGTTTTACGTTTATGGTTAGGTTATGGCAATTCATGTGCGAAAGCCTTTAGTCTAGGGAAACTTAGGCCGGTATTCAAGTCCGATCTTATATTTAAGATTGTCTTAAGTCTGATCCGAGGTTGACTTAAGACCTCATTTAACCAATCAAATAGCTGCGTAGCATTTCAAGCTCGAACTTAAAACGATCTCAAATATAAGCTCGGACTATAAATACTGGCCTTAAAAAGTCTATCGCTGAGTACCACTACTCAGTCCAGTGAACTCTATACTATACTGGAATATGCACTGCCTTTGATAGCGCCCGGGACATCGAAAGAAAAGGACAGGTTGCTTTGGAACGATTTCTGTCTCCGTCTAGTAAATTTTGATTGGTCGATCATTTTATATGATCTTCGTTACAAACATCAGTCTTAAGCCTGGTTCCACAACTCGAGTTAATCCGAGTTTAATACGTTAAACTGGGTCCTGATTGATCCATTCACTACTTAAACTCGGATTAACTGGATTGTGGAACTGGGCATTAACATCAGTCTCTCTATTTAGTTTACCATACATGTACACACTTGTATACCTCTTTCACCCTGATCATCACTCAACACATATGCACTGAATATGGACAGAAATACTGGACAGTGTATTGCTGCGGGGGTGAAGCTCAAAGGGTGAGGGGAAAGAAATGTCTACTGCAACGGAATATGAGGCATGTAAGATGGCGACGGATATTAATTTCACGGAGTGTGATATTTTTGAATTTCTTAATATTCAGAAATGATTCGGAATAACACAGCGATTTCAGATGATAGATTATTTCACAGAATCTCTCATATTTTATTCGATTTACGTCCGTACGACGTGAAAATAGATGCTAAATCTGAGGCATCTAAAATGGCCGCGACAATAAATCCCTTACCCCTCAGGCTTTACATCCCTCGTCTAAAAGAGTACTTTATGCTCTGTCCTGTATTTCTTACGTCCATGGCACTGAACGTAGCCAATGTTTTCAGCTCGAAGAGTACGACGATAGAAAAGGACAGGTTCCATTTTTCCCTCTCGCTCGTCCTGTTTTCTCCTACGGCAGTACACATTCCAGTTTAGTATAGAGTTTACTGGCTCAGTCCGATCAGAGATCCGATTAGTTGTCGTAAACACCCGGTATCTTTATTTTTTAGTCACGTGATGTCTTTTGACGCTGGAAAACGTCAAGTGAAAACCTGCCCTGAAACCGAAGTTTCGCATTGTCACCGCACGAGATCTCCGACATCAATTTAAAGTCCGCGTCACTCCTGCCTATCCTAACTGATCATAGTACGAGGTGATATAAGGCGAGGCTGCTCCGCGTTGTCTGACAAATATCGATTGGTCCCGGCATAAGCTTCGCGCGCGTCATGCGACAATCATGAGTAGCGTATCTTTACGCGACGACATCGGTGAAATTTGGATCGCATACGCGTCGCGGCCAATTCAGCGCATAGGTAATCATTGCGTTGTTATTATCCATTTAATTCCTCTTACGTCGAACTTGAGCATCGAAAAAGTCTCGACCTCTCCCGAGACATGCAACGCGAGTCTGTCAATCTTTTATTCCAATTCTAATTGAACACTGCTTGAAACTATTCCTTTTAGCTAATTTCTTACTATGCATTTAAAACTAAATTTTAGCATTTTATTTATTTTTGGATTGTATTATGAGATTGATAAAATAACTGCATTTATCATTAAATGTGCGGCGAAAGAATCGACCGTCCCCACACTGACATTTATTAAACTGATAGATACTGGTTAGAAACTGTAAACTTTTCGTGAAAAATTTACATTGATATATTTATAAAAGACTTACTATATATTTTTATAAAAAATGTAAATTTTGTACTTTATATTTACTTATATGTGCTAATGTACATATGTGTGTATGTGTGCATGTATATACACACACAATATTATATATATATATATATATATATATATATATATATATATATTAAAAATTTATAAATTATATTTTGAAAGTGTTATTGACCATAGACAAACTAAATTATGAAAGTTTTTCATTACTCGCATCTGGAATTATGATATTTATAAGATATTATGTCCCGTCTCTTTCCTATACTCAGAATTTACAAATTGTGTTATCATGTTTTTGTTGTAGGATTCCAACAAACTGTGTTGCTTTAGAATGTCATTGCAATTTGTTACTCATAATGGACCATGCGCAAAGTACAAGTCGTCAATATATAAATATAAAAATCATAAGGTTGTATATTGCCTCTGATACCTTTTTTCAGGTTAGACATTTGACAGCAACATTAACTTGAAGTTATTCTTAAAATAAAAAATATATTAATTACATCATTAAATTTTAGAGAGTAATGTGGCAATATAAAAAATTCTGGCTACTATAGGCTGTCCGGCGCATAGTTGAAGTAAATAAATTCTGAAATGGACTCTCCGCCATCATGTTCATTAAGCGCTGGGCCTCTCAGTGATCTTGGTAGCAGTGGCCTAGGAGGTTCGATATCTAGTGATTCCGTTCGAGCCCACCTTGCAATAGAGGTATTACATCTGTGCATGTTTTTTCCTTAGTTCCAAATTACAAATAATGAATATTTTAAAAACAAAATACAATTTCAGATGCAAGAAAGTGACATAGAAAGTAAATCTTTGTCACAAGATTCTTTTGATTATTCGGATGGCATGTGCAGCGAAAATTTTAACACATTGAAGAAAGGTCCAGGCTGGGGTGATACAGATGGCAAATTGGAAGTTGAAGTAGTCGATGTAGCAATCAAGCCACCGCCAGAATTTCAGGACAGCCCATCGCCACCAGATTCGGAATCTTTGTCGGCACCAATTGTGAACTATGCACAATTGATGAGACATAGAACATCATGCTGGTTCGACGATTACGTTGAGAATTTGGTACAATCGGCAGTAGATGAGGCGCTAGTAATTTCTTGTCGCATCTCCTGGCCAGAAGGAAGAATCGCGCCTGTCATAAATCCGATTTCAATGATAACACGAACACAACAGACCAATTCTAAACGCACATGGGACCTAATGACGCCACCGGTATGCCAGGGTGCTGCTACTATCACTATTACTCCGTATAATACACTGAATCGGCCGAACTCGCGCTGTTCATTAGCTTCGTCACGACTATCTAGTTCACATAATTCCATTAATATCTCTGGGCTTGGCCACAAGGCCGATGACAGTAGTTTTATCACATCTGCTATGTCACACGATGTATTGACTACAAGCGAAATAAGTGATATGTATAATGTGCCGTTTGATTCGGATATTTATACGGTGCCTATTGACATGATACGACCGTTACACGACCTGCGAACGCCGCAGAGACCCAAACGACATCGACACCATCGCAAAAGACGGCGAAACGTTTCCGCGAGTTCGCAGAGTGAGTTGGAAGCGCACATTCAGCAAGCACGCCATTATTGCGGTAAATCCCGCGCCATCACACATGTCATTAAATCTCAACGCTTGCTGGCTGATGTCTGTTGTAACGAAGGCAACCCGGGTAACGGTGGTAAACGACATAGTGTGCCAGGCACTTCCGGTCGTCATAATATTAAAACATCGAATGGACATGCACACAATATTGGTGAACCGATCCATATGACTTTACACGAAGTGCGACAATATCTACAGACGTTATATTCGAGCTCGAGCGACTCTAGCGAGAACAAGATCAAGCGAGACAAAACGCCACTACTGGGCCATACACCAGTACATCTTGCCGCAACGGCCAAACCCCTCAGTATAAATAATAATAGGTATGTGCAACATAATTTCTATTAATAAGATATATAGAGAAACAAATTCCTTTTTTATCAAAAGTAACGAGATCTTTTGTAAATTAACAAATGTTCAAAAAAATAATTTTTTCAAATTACAACACAAAAAATTCTTTAAATAGTCCCAATGATAAATCAAATAATAGAATAAAGGCTGTTATAGACCAAGCGAAGCGCAGATGGTAAAGCGAGACAGAAAATTTCTTAAAATTAATTCTTTATAAATTCATACATACATACAAACGTTTCGGTCCCTTTCGGACCCTCTTCAGTGTGACAAATTAATATAACATATCGGAAATATAAAAAGTACAAAATAAATATACAGGGTGTCCCAAAAGTCCCAGACCGGTCGAATATTTCATAAACTATGCACTTTAGAAAGAAATGTTTCAGACAAAAGTTGTATGGCTTGAAGGGGGCCATCAGATAGTAGCAATGATTTGACATGGGAGAGTCATTTAAAAGTCACGTGAAGATCATCGTCAATTTCTTAAATGGAACTCCCTATTTTTTATTAAATATTCTGGTAGCTCACATCGAGAGCTTTCCAAAACACTATAATTAAGTTAGTTTTCATTAAGTACTTTCCGAATTATGAAGCTTGAAATCATTTCTTAATTTTACATAAACCGTAAAATATCTTGTAAAATATTCATTTTTCGACTATCTTACCTTAATACTTTTATGTACAAAATAATGAGAGGAATCAATTGGTGTAAAGAAAAAACATAGTTGTTTTTAAGAAAAAAATATGTAATTTGCAATTAACAATTACATATTTTTTTTTAAAACAACTATGTGTTTTTAATCAAAAATAGGGAGTTCCATTTAAGAAATTGACGATGATCTTCACGTGACTTTCAAATGACTCTTTCATGTCAAATCATTGCCACTATCTGATGGCCCCCTTTAAGCAATACAACTTTTGTTTGAAACATTTTTTTCTAAAGTACATAGTTTATGAAATATTCGACCGGTCCGGGACTTTTGGGACACCCTATGACCCCGTATGAAGATTACTGTACACGTCGAATGGTAAAATTTAAAAAAAATATAAACACAGTCAAACAAAGGAATACCGTTTAGGCATTTAAAATGAAGGCAGAATAAAAACGCAAAAAATGCAAAAAATCCGCGACGCAGTGCAATATCCATTTCAAAAACGTCACGATGTTACCTAACAATCTTCCCCGTCCCAACGCAACTTGCAATCGTCAGTCTTAAAAGATCGTTGACGCAATTGTTCCATGAAATCGTTGGCCACCAAACCCACGCTCAAACACACCCCATCGAAATCTATCCAACCTGACGCTTTCCCAAATAACGCACGTTAAAGGAAAAAGATTCCATGCGATTCAAAGCTCAAGCTAGAGTCCCATGGCAAATCAATGGTAAAATACCTGTAAAGAGGGGAGGGGAGAAGGAGATGATTTTAATAAAACACAGTCAAGAAAATTGAAACCGAAGATAGAGAAAGGTATTAATCCAAGAAGATAATTTAATCTCTAATAAATAAATTTATAGAAACTTAACCGTGGAAATCGAAATTTTCTGTCTCGCTTTACTACCTGCGCTTCGCTTGGTCTATAATAGCTTTTATTCTATTACTTGCTTTTGTAAATTGTTTGATGATTGTTTCTAAATTTTAAGTTAAACATTTGTATAATTGTTATCAAATTAACTATTTAATAATAGGTATAACAGTAATGTGCATACGGATTCGTCCACGGACACACCAGTGTCCAACAAGAGCACCAGCAATGGACTGATGATTCATCATCATAACAACAATAATAACAATCATAACAATAATTCTAATAATGCAAAGAAACATAAAAGGAATGCGTTTGTCAGCATCAGGCATAAGAAAGCGCGCGATGAATCGCATAAAGAAAAGAGTGAATCCGAGCGAGAGAAGATAAAGAAAAGTCAGCGTAATTTCTCGCTAAATCTTAAGCAAACACTTTGCAATATTTTCCGATTTCGGCGATTGGGTTCGCCGGATCATTTTGTGGAGAAACGTAATAGCATCGTACAGGGAGAGATTGTTGAAGAAGAAGAGAATGTTGATTCTGATCAGCATGCAAATAACAACAACACCGCTCCTTCTGAGATAGAATCGTCCGCTCAAAAATTGCCGTTTTTTAAGCGCGCGTTGCCACCTCTACCTAAAAGTAATAGTCAGATAAATGTGGAGCAAGCAGAAGAGGCTATCACAGCAATGGCACCCAAGTGCGAATCTCCGAACGTGATACAACAGGGAGAATTTTTGTCGCCCGCCGCACGACTCGAAGAAGATACCGCAGAGGACACAAGTATGGACTTTGCTGCCAGTATTGAAAAAGTAAAGGATGTACGTATATTTTTCTTTGTTTTTAATCAGTTTAAGCTTGATATTTAAATCATTAATAGATATTTTATAATATTATCGCTTTCCAAAATAGTACGGATGGTACTGGGGACCTATATCCGGCGAAGCGGCGGAGAAGATATTATCCAATGAGCCAGATGGCTCATTCATTGTACGGGACAGTAGCGATGATCATTATATTTTTTCCTTGTCATTTAGACTTAACAGTTGTGTACGACATGTAAGGATAGAACATGATCAGGGTAAGTTTCACTGTACTCTGTACAGAACTTGAGATTATCATATGAAATATATACATTTTAATCAAATTTATTTCTTTTGATAAGGTAATTTCAGTTTCGGTAGTTGCACAAAGTTCAAGTCACATACTATTGTTGACTTCATCGAGAATGCGGTCGAACATTCACGTAGCGGTCGATATCTTTTCTTTCTACACCGGCGGCCAGTCCTGGGTCCGATGCGAGTGCAACTACTCCATCCAGTATCACGATTCAAACAAGTACAGAGTCTGCAGCATACTTGCAGATTTGTCATCCTGAAGATGGTGCGTAGGGATTTGATCCCGACTTTGCCATTACCCCGGCGACTAATCGATTACCTCAGCACACCCCATTACTACAGCGAGCAACTAGCGACTGAACAGGATGACCGAGCTGAATCGCCAGTTAGTTCATCAACCGGCGAATTGGAGAAGATTTGCTTCACGCCGCAAGGTCTCTCGTGAGGTACAGCTGTGTGATTTTTTTCCTCTTTTACTTTGCTCTTTCTATAAAGAGACATTTGCACCAAATATCATCCCTGATATTAATACAAATATATATATATATATATATATATATATATATATATATATATATATATATATATACCCAGTAAGCAAAATGTCAGCAGATTGGCAACAGATTCAATTAGAATCCCAGAACCATAGCCATCTGTGTCCGCATTGTATTCTGGCAACAGAGTTTATAAAACATAATCTGACAACAGATTGTTGGCAGAAACCGAGCAGAATCTACACAATGCAATTTGATATCAAATTGTCGGCAAAAACCGAGCAGAATCTGCGCACATAATCTGATGGCAAATTGACACCAGAAACTGAAGATTTGCGCTTACTTATATTAATGTTATATAAATGCAATAAATTAATTATTACAGGTGCTAAATAGGAATTTATCGGCGAGTTATCGACATGTAATATATGTTATATCGTTATATCTCATATAGCGAAGAACTAGTTCAATTTAATTAAATTAATAATAAAATAAATGGTAATTAAAATAATTAAACTTAATTTATAAAACTTGAAATATAATTTATTTAGAATTAAATTCTTGTTTTATGTCTCAAATAGGTGATAAATGAATAATTTTCCATTTATCATATTGATTCCAACCAATTTAATATTCTAATTCTCATCTTCTTGTATCAGATATCAGAAAGTGATAGAAATTAAAATTATAGATATCAGAAAGTGATAGAAATTAAAACTATAGTTATTATATTTTTTATTTTTCATTAATAATCGCTATTTTATATATATTTCTGACAGAAATTCGATTGTGAGAGTACATTACATAGTGGTAAGCGAAGAAACTATCGAATCATGCAAATCATACAAATCTTGTTCGGCTTTTGCCGTCAATCTGCTACCAGAGATTGTGTACGCAAATCCTGCTCGGTTTTTGTCGACAATCTGACATTAAATTGCATTGCGCAGATCCTGCTCGATTTCTGCTATCAATATGTTATGATAATTCTGTGCCAATCTTGCTCAGTTTATGCTAGTGTCCTGCTATCAAATTATATCAGCAGATTTTGTAAGTTTTTATTATCATTCTGTTATCATTATCTGTTATAACAAGCTTTGCATACAATCTGCGGTCTTTCTGCTGACAATTTGTAGCAGGCACTTGGAAAAATCTATTGAAACAGATTTGGCTGACTGGGTATATATATGTATATATACAGGGTGTAACTGAAAAAGCGCCCATTCAAACACCGTTATTCTCAATTAAAAATCGAGTCGAAAAGTCCTAAAACAATTTTTTTCTATAATGCTTAATAAAGCGGTAATTATTGAGTAAAGTTGCAATAAGCACCGACCTTTAGCCTCCTTGTCGAAATTTTCTTTAAGGAAACGCTTTTAACGAAAGAAATATAATTTTTAATGCAAAATAAAGTTTTCCGCATTATTGGGAATATAAATTTACCATGCGACACTAGTGGACGAAACGCAAAAAATATGGCCGTCGCAAAGATTTAATATTGTTTAGATACGGCAATCAGTGTGTTTCTATTAAATAAAAGTGAATAATTAAGAAGTATTAGAATAAACGAAAAAATGAAGACACAAGGAAAATAAATAAATTTTTTCGCGACTTTTTATCACACATGATAATTAAGCCAGAATTTATTACATTCTGGCCTTCAATTATATTTCTTGAAGAGGGAGTAGCTACACAAAGTATCTAAACGCAGTGACAACATTTGCGTTTTCTTAACAATTTTTCAAACAGTATTCTTAAATGTCAAATCGCCTTTTGCGACAGCCATATTTGTTATGCGACACGAGTGTCCCTCTACCGGCGGTGGTAATTTTTTTCCCAATTCCGACACATAAGAATATTGCACGATAGCAGCATGACAGCGTTGTAGCGCTCACGCACACTACCAGGCGTGCGACTCACTTACGTGCGCCCGTCTAAAGATCGGTGCTTATTGGCGCAACTTTACTTAATAATTATCGCTTTCTTAAACATTATAGAAAAAAATGGTTCAGGACTTTTCGACTCGATTTTTAATTAAGTATAACGCTATTTGCTCCGTGGGCGCTTTTTTAATTACATCCTGTATATATGTATATGTATATGCATATATGTGTGTGTGTATATATATATATATATATATATATATACACATATACAGGGTGTCCCCAAACTCATAATCAATCTTTCAAAGACAGATTCCTGGGATTATTTGGAGACGATTTTTCCTCAGTGAAAATGTCGATGAAGCCATCATTTTTTGCATGTTCCCGATTTTTGTCATCATATATCTTTGCAATAAAGCCTTAAATTAAAACACAACAAAGTAAACTCTATTTAAAATTAATCGAAGAATGTGGTTTTGTTAATATTTTATTTCTACAAAGCTTAGTTTAACTTAGAAAAACCCCCCTTATTTCCAATCACTTATAATTCGAAAATTATTAGTGCCCCGACATTTTCGTTGAGGAAAAATCGTCTGCAGATGATCCCAGGAATCTGTCTTTGAAAGATTAATTATGAGTTTTGGGACACCCCGCATATATATACATATATATATATATATATATATATATATATATATATATATGTACACATAATTCAAAATTTAATTAAATTTTCATATGTAAAAAATTTCACAAATATATATTTATATTTATATTGCCAATTAATTCAATTTTTGCCAATATATAATAAATTTATATCATTAATTGATAAATTTAATATATCATGATTATCTTGAGAAGATATTGTAGAATATAAATTGTAATTATATTAATACATTATTGAGTGAGTTCCGATTGTGCACATTCCCGATTGGACACAGACCCATTCGGACATAGATCTGATTGGACACAGTCCCGATTAGACACAGACTTATATGAAGTACAATAGATCTCGTTTCGCACTGAAAGCACAGGTGGTATAAATTGAACTTCATTTCGCGTGTAAAGTTGTAAACTTATGTGGAACCGTACAATAATAGACTTCGTTTCGCATTAAAAGCACAGGGCGAAAACATGTGTGATCGGGACTGTGTCCGATCGGGAAATCTGTCCGATCGGGAATGTGCGCAATTGGAATGATCCCACATTATTAATACATACTACTTTATTTTGTAGCTTAAATAATTTTTTGCTTATGTGAAACCCTATTTTTACTGAATTTATCAATATGAATGCATAATTAATTGTGAATTTGTCAATATATAAAAATTTAATTTTTTAGTTCAACATATCAGAATTTAAAACGCTATTAAATAATATAAAGAATCGATAATTTAAATTACTTCTTAGATGTGTTAAAGTTTAATTAATATTTGAATTATTTTTATTTGCATGCTGAAATTTAATTAATGATTGAGTTAAGTTTTCATTTATATGTTGAAATTTAATTTGTACATTAAATTTTTATTATCGTGACGCATGATTGATGATTTCGCGCTTGCGATTTTGATTTATGGTGCATCAATTCGTAAAGTGAGTATTGTGATTAAACTTGAAAGTAGAAAAATATAGGAAATTTTCATAAGTACTATGCATCTAAAGCTGCAAATTATGGTCGTCTCAAGTTACCTGATGGATTATTGAGAAAAAGAAATAGAATTTATTAATTTCTATATCAATAGAAGCTGCAATACTACGTACTGCAATATTCGTTTTGCTATACTCATATAACAAACATATACTGAGATAATTATAGACATAATAAGTATATATTGCGCGTATTCTTTTTTTTACTTGAATACCTAAAACATACATGAGCTTTAATCTTTATAGTAACTTCTGTATATAATTACATTCCATTGCTTAAGTTGAAGAGAAATTTCACAGAAAACATTTACTTATTACCTATATTGGAAAGAAATTTTCTGTAGCATATATACGGTCTGGCTAGTAAAGTTTTAGAACTATCTTTATCAAAAATAAAGAAATCGTATTCATATTTAATATATTATCATTTTTATTTTTCAATATATATTTCTTCTAATTCCACACAGAACTTGGCGCGCTCTTCTAGTTTATATAAGATGTTCTAAAAATCCGGAACTGAGACGCTGTTTAATTGTCTTGTAACGTTGCTTTGAATTTGCTTCATATCGTCAAATCGGTTTCTTTTTAAGTTTGAGGGAAAGAAAATAACCAACAGGAGCCAAATTGGGAGAATTGAAGGAGATAATAAAGTTCAGTCACGTTTTTAGATGTTAAAAAGTGATTGCAGTGCCGAAGCGTTGTAATTGAGTAGGAATTAATCATCATTCTTTTTTATCTCATCTCGGCTGATTCTCGCAAGAATTTTTTCCATGACGGTCTTATAAAATTCAATTGTCCCTTGTGGAACAAATTCTTTGCTAATCGTGTCTTTCACATTAAAGAAAGTAATGAGCATTGTTTTGACTCTTGATTTTTAGAATCGGAATATCTTCGCTTTTAGTGAAATTTTTTCCAATTTATTTTACATTTTTTTATCACTAGACAACGCAAAGTTCGCGCTTCGCGCGCGCCATTTATTCCCTTTCATTAAGGTGCATTTTCACGTGCCACTGAAACTGATCATTTGAGCGACAAAAATGATCACGTGACGACTTTTGTCGCTAAACTATTACAGCGGCAGCTTGTGCATATGAAAAAAGATTGCAGCGATAAAGTTGTGTTGTAGAAAGCAATAATGGCAGCTTCTAAAAGAAGAAAATATTATAATTGGATATCAAATTGTAATAAAATAATTCGACAAAAACGTCAAATACAATTTGAAAATGATATCGTTCTTATTATATTACTATCAGAAACAAAAAAGACATTATTCAAAAAAAAAATTTTGGGTTGCACCATTTTTTCAAAATCATGTTCAATGTGGATTTTACAAAGCTATTTTACCGAATGTGAGATTAGAAAGTACAAGATTTCTGAATTATTTTCGTATGTCATCAACACAACTGGAAAATTTACTACACTAGA